ACACAAGTTTTTGCAAGCTGCAAGGTTCAGACCGGTTACACCGAAGCTTCTCCCGTTTCTCTAAAGCATCCGTTTCCTTATAGTGCCACGACAAAGGGAATCGGGCGAGCTAGTGAAAAGCCTAGCTTTCACTGACGAATTACCTCACAAAAGCATGAAGTAGGTAGACAACACCAGACGCACTCAATCTGAAAATAGCTGTTGCTTAGGAACTGGAGGGGTAAAATGCAGCACCTCAGATATATAATTGAGAGCTTTTATATTTAAAGAGAATTAAAAACACTGGACCTCTGCATTTCTCTCCCATTTATCATCATTTTATAATGCTGGAGGAACGATTGCTCGATTCCACTGACTCCTGGGGCTATGCCTACATCTTCAGCAAGCCAAACAAGTCTTGATGACAGAGCAACAAATAACTCCCACACATTGAAGGTCCCTCGTAAAAACGCGTACACGAAGTGTGTCGTGGCTACCACCTGAAATATCTTAGAAGTAGCAAGTATTATGTTTTAGTAGAATAATTAAAATACAGTTTGCATATTTTTTCTGCAGAGGGATAATATGCCAAGGATGAATTCTGCTCGTCACGTTTTCTTGTAGCATGTATTGATATTAGAAATGGGTATGAATGTTTACCCCTCACATGAGTGAGCTGATGTGGTTTAACAGACTGCACGTGTATATTTGAGAGAGAGAGATTTCTTTAGGTGGGTTAAACATTCCTAAACATTTAGGAATTTCTTCAACTTGGGACTCAATTTCGAAGTTTCATGCCTAAATCCTAACCTGTATCAATTTTAAAAATTAAGCATGGAACATAATGAAATTCACTTTGCACTTTCTGCATGATTTCAAATCCAGCGAGTAAGTTCTCTGCATGAAGCATTTACAGCAGGAAGTGTTATCTTCAGAGATCAAAAAAAGAAGGGGGAAAAAAAAAAGAAGTAGGTAGCCAGGAACTCATTGCTCTTTGTAAGGCAACCTATAATTCACTCTAATTACAGCAGCCTTAATAGTGTAATTATTCTAAAAGAAAAGGAATCCTACAACATACACACATACATATACATATGTGTAATCTATAAAGAAGTGAATGCAGTGTTGGTGTGGAAGCCAGGAGCAAGTTAAATATTGTAAAGACAGCTTTTTACTTGTCCCATTTACATTCTATTGAATTGCAGATGCTTATCAGGAGACAAACTCCTGCAAACAGAAATTCCCATAAGCCTCAGAGTATTTCATTTGACATCCATCTCTACCTGTAACTACATCACTTCGCATTTAACTCCCACGTGCAGAAAAGGAACGTATTTTCCAAGTGGGTCATTAAGAAGTATGACATGCACTGTAGTAGTTTCCTCTCATGTTTCAGCACACACCATAGAAAACCTACTAGTGCTTTAAAAAAATCCTAACAGAATTAGAGTTTTGTTTAATGAGTCTTGGTAGAATAATTTTATGAGTTTATATGTGGATTTTAGTTTTATATTATGGTAAACCAGTGGTTCCACTTCCCTTTCTCGCAAGTGACATTGCTAACATTCACACACACAGCTGGCTTCCTAAGATCTATCTTCCCACTTTCTTCACTTTACTCCGGAAGAATTAAAAGATCATGGAAGACTCCCAATAACATAAGCCTAAACCCCTTCCTCCTCTCTCGCTGCTTGCCCGAGCAGCGCAGGCTACCGCTGGCCAGGAAAGACCTCTCCCCCCAAGTCCCATTTCTCTGCTGGAGGAAAGCCCCACAGACCTAGGGAAACACCATAAGCAACCCTGGGGCAGATCCTGCGGGCAATTGCCAGTCCATCTTTAAACACCTGATGCGTTAGATTTGAAGTAGAAGTATACCTAACAGACTACTCATCTTAATTTTTAAGCAAGGTCTTGTTTAACAAAGGGTACATTTATTAAGGACACAAATTGGCAGCAATACAACGGAATCACAAAATGATAAAACAGGTCTTTTATATTACATGCAAAAATCGGAACCTCCTAAATTTCTCCTAACCTTTCAAGGAACTGGTTAAATTAGGTTTAACACTATTCCTATCAAAGACAGTTTTCAGAGCCATGTGAAAGAGAGAGTCTGAGGCTACAGTGGAATAACTGAGGCTTATTTTCTTCCCCCCAGTGAAACTTTTCTTCCTTGTTTCTTGTGACTGGGCACTAGGATACCAAACGGTAATCAGAGAGCTTGGGTCATTTTCTTTTCCCACCCTATTCAAGATCCTTTAACATCTCTGTGGTACATATTGATTGTTAGTTTTACAAGGTTCTTCCAAGATTTATAACAAGTAGCTTCCTAAAAGCTTTGCAGAACACCTATACACAGCACAAACGAAATAAAGAGTGCTTTTAGGATGAAATTGATTGAAACTATGCACTTCTTTTCAGATGGATTTAGAAGGAAACACCTCACTGCTCTGTCAAGGAAACCCTACGTATGGAGACTTTGTCCTGTTTTGAAGGAACGCACTCTCAGGGGTGAAGTATTTTTGCTTATTTTGTTAAAAAAAAAATTAAAAGACATTCTGCCTAAGAAAAAAAATAATCAGCAGGAGTCTTCTACATGAAAATCTGATACAGAGTTTTCTAGAAGAATGTTTTTAACAATTCAACAATAGCCTTCAGGAAAGGTTCAAACGACTGCAGGCTGACCTGCAGAGAATTCCACTGAACTTCTCCTCACACCCTTTTTTTTTAAATATGACATGGTGGTGGAGTACCTAAAATATCACACAAGGAAGGAACAAAACCATTCTCAGAAAGATAGAGAAAATTTTAAAATTTAGAGTTATCTTCTCACAATTATCTCCTTCCCAGCCTCTACTGAAACCCAGAGAACTTCATCTATATGTTTAGTAACTAGTTATCTCATTGTGCCCAAGTACAACCTTCCCAAACAGTACCCAAGAAATGGTTTTACTTGCACTCCATATAGATGGGCCTCTGCAGCAACTGAGTTAATGCCCACGAGACCTCTTCCTCTGAAATTAGGCCATGCCATGCAAGCCCTCCTTAGTCTCAGGAAGGGGTGAAAGAGAGAAACCAGGCAATACATTAATTTCTCTGGAACCCTCCTTGGAAGAAACCATAGCCTCATGAGAACAAATAATTAAAAAATTCTTTGGGAACCATTTCATCCTGTGAGTTCACGTTTTCAGAAAACTCAAAAGGGATCTATTAAACAGCCCAAGTCCAACTTCTTGCCACAAGATACATTTTTCATAGTCAACTCGATCCGTCTTACCTCTTAATTTAAAATCTATTGGACCAGATTGATACCACTTACCTTCCACCTAAATCCCTTTCTCTAACGTTTCTTATCGACTAGCTGTAAACCTTCAAAAATGTCTCACCAACAACAAAAAATCCTTCAAGCATGGAGGCACATAGCCAACAGGATGTATCAGGCATGAGGACTTAGACAGGACTTAGGCCTCTACCTCTGATGCAACACCAGCGCAGACTTCATATGCACTCCAGTCAGCAGTCTCTAAATATTTCACTGCCATAGGCAAAGCATTAGGACTGTAGGGCATGGTTCAGAGCATACAAAAGACTACCCATATTTTCATATGCATACAAAAATTAGATGAAGATTTGCAATAATGCTAGAAAAGTCTAAGAAGTCTAAGTCACCTTAAGAGTCCTTCAAGTGACTGCCTTCCTCTCAACAGTAGTTTAGAGGAGTCCAATTTACCTTCCACTCTTTGGACCAGAAGAACACGTGATCAACTAGCACATCAGATGAGGCAGGAGTGATTACATACTGAACAGGTCTCACCTTACTGGATAGGATTTCCCAGATTTCTGAAATTCCTGAGTTACCACTGAAAACTAGCTTGCTTTCTGGTTTTTTTAGCTTTTTTAAATGACAGACTGTCACCTGAAAAAATCAGGTCTGCAACCCATCTTAAACTGTTGAATGAAATACTGAATTTCCTGCAAATTTCAAGATGGTTTTGAAATGAGATGCAAGACAGAAGCTTAGAAAACTTCAGAAAAAAAATGTAGAATTCTGCAACAGTAAGGGCAAAAAAGCAAACTTAGTAAATGAATCTTGCATTAAAAATAGAAAATCTTGTCTATTAAAAGTAGCAGCTTCCTGATTAACATATGATATTTTCTCATTAAAAAGGCAGGTACTCCAGTGATTTTTGCAAGGGGCATTACGAAGGTTAGGCTAGGAACTACCCTACTGAGATTAAGGTTGCAAACATGTAGCTCCACAGCAGCAGAGCCTGTTTATTATAGGTTTAGACATAGATGTTCATATTCATATAAAAATCCTTCACCTGAATGAAAAGCAATTCCAAAATACTGGAGCCCTAACTATGTACTTATACAATTTCAATACCAGATGGGAGAGACTGCTTTACCCAAGCAGGAAAATTCTTAAACATCAATATTGGTAACAATGTCTCCTTTGCAGCAACTGTAATTGTACAGATAATTTAAAAATGTATGAGCATGATACCATTAACACTACTAGCATAACTTCCTTTCAATGATGTGTCAAGAGCAAACCAATAGCTACACAGGGCTTTCCTGCACCTCCCCACACAGTTCTAACACTGCTAATCCTTTTATTATTGAACAAGGTGAGAGGGCCATCCAAGTTTTACAAGTTTGTCAGGTTTAAAAAAAAAAACCACCACAAAACATACACACATTATTTGAAATGGCATTCCTTTGATATCCTGATGGACACAGCTGAGTAAGAAATGCTTTCTCAGTACATCTAATCCATCTTTCTGCTACTGAAAGAAACTTTCTGTTGCAAGACTCAGCTCTGTCTGGATCAACTGTTTGGATTACAGCTCAAAAATTATATTAATGAAAGCTGTCACGGTTTTATGCTTTTTTCCATTGATTCAATCCTGCAGTTATTAACAAAATGAACAACTTTGCCAATCTCAGATGGAAAACTTGCTTGAATACCTCAAACTTACAAAAAGCCAAAACCAAACACAAAATACTGAGCAACTGACCTGTGAGCCTCTGGGTCCCCGTTTGTGATCCCATTCAGAATGCCCCATGAGCTGAAAAACAAAGAAAAGCACAGGTAGGTGAGAAATTGCACTCATTAGCTTTAATTGAAACATTCACGCTTTTATATCCATTACACATTTGCTTTGAAAAAACAGGTTTGCTTTTACAATTTATTTCACACAGCTTTTAGCTTCATAATGAGAGTGAGAAGACTTGGGAGTTGTTACTATAACTTTGTACCTTTACATTCAGAGCCAAAACACATCTAGCATTACAACACTGCTCATGCCAATAAAATTCCCACTGCCACAGATCCAGCTTTAGCCGAATGTTTAATACTGATCTGGCAAAAGGAGAGCTGATACATCAACAAGGAGATTACCAAAACCAGGGGACATTTGATTAAATAGCAATGCACGGTCTATACCAGGCATGAAAGTTAGTGACAGCTTTAATTCTGTCTCACCACTGAATTATTCTCAATGTAATAAAAAAGTAGAGGTACACCCTCCAAAGGAAAACAGGCTGGGGTCATTACATTGCAGAGGAAAGCAAAGAGAGAGAGAGTTTAGAAATGATGCGTTCTTGTGGAAATTAAGATTTGTGATGGTATACAGCTTCTCAAGTTGAAGAGAAGGCAAGCATTAATTATAGCCCAAATTCAGCTGTCAAATCTTCTGTGCAACCCTACAGGAGACTGTGTTGTGAGTCAAGTGGTCAGACATTGGATGGTGCAGATGGACTCCAGAAAAGATAATTTGTCTTCTCCCATCTTTTTTCTACTGTACTTCATAACTGTATACTAACACAGGCACTCACTTTCTTTAAGCAACACACGATTTGCACACAGCAGTTCTTTCCATGTATATCATGGTGGGGGACAAAAAAAGAGGAGAGAGAATACCCAGCAGGCTTTATTACTGCTTTATGTATCCGAAGATTATGGGCAAACATGAACTGCTGACAATAAAGCTATCCTCACACCTGCCTAAAAAAGCCTGGAAAGCACCAGGGAGTGCCCAGGCATGGCTCTGGTGGAGCCCGAGCTGTGAAGCACACAAGGCGGCTGCCGCTGCTAATCCTGCCTCTGAGTGCTTGGCCGGTGCGTGTTCCAGCCTGGGAGCTGGCTTTTTTTTTACAGCTACTCAGGGATCTCTTCTGGGTAATGCTTTTTCTTACTCATACGAGCATAACTTAATGCAAATATAAAAACATGTGAATGAAAGACAGGAGGGTTAATGTAACATGTAATGACTTACAGCTACGAACATTTTCTTGCTCTTTTTTCCTCAACATTCTTTCCCAAAGGAAATGCCTTCTCCCAGGTCAGAGGTAGGCAACAAGATTTACAACCTATGCTTATTGCAGAACATGCTTTTGAAACACTCATCCCAGGAAAAGAGATTAAAACTACTTTGAAAAATGAGGAAAGCCACATACATCTCATATGAAATCTTTATCTTCTCCATCAACTGTTCCTACTTATCCTTTCCTTCTCCAAGGGCCCCTTCATTTCTTTAAGTTATTACTTACGATTACCTACCCCCATAACTGGAGACAAACTGCACTGCAGACAGGCATCAAAGATCAGAAATGTCACACCATTTTTCTACCTGATACAGCCTCACGACTGACCCCCTCGTTTTACTGTAATTATTTCCTTTTTCTTATAGTGTTGGTGGAAACACTGGCTGTGCCAGGTTTCCCTGTTTGTTTCTCCATACTGTTATGTTTGCTCATTACTGTATGAAGCCCAGCTTTGATGTTTATGAAAGCTGGCCTCTCAGTAAATAACCAGCATGCAAAAACTACCAAGAGATGCATCTACCAAAGGTTATGTGCTTCATAGAACCTCTGCCAAAACCCTCATACCTGTGCTTCCTCCCTGGCTCCTGCCACTCCGGACCAAGAAAACCTCTTCAGTTTTAACTCCTCAGCCCCTATGCCTTGTGGGGAAGTGGTGCCTGCTTTCTTAATTTACTTGGCTAAAGAAAAATTAATTTAGCATGAGTCTGACCACCTGCGATTCCCAGCATGATAAGGGATATCTTCACCTACAACTTCCTACCAGTGAAATTAGCACAAAAAATATGCCTGTTATCTCACAGTTAAGAAAAAAGGATTAATGTTACAGGCCTGGCTATGGTTACTGTGGTTCTCCAGGCTCTATAGATATTTGGCAGCACATACCACACCCTCAAAACCAAGCGTAGCATGAGATCCCACTGCCAGCTTTTTCATGCTCCCACCCTCGCTGAATCCATAGTTTACCGAAAAGCAAAGGGTTGCTTTACTATTGCCACCAAAAATAAGCAATGCAGTTAAGAGTCACGCTTGGAGTTATTGTTCCCATTAGAGGAGGTACACTGAATGTGGGATGCTCCCAGTCCAGCCAGTCCCAGGAAACCAGACTGACGTGTGCCGGGGTGGCTACTTGTGATCACCACCAATCCTCAAGCCCAAATCAAGTCCTCTTAAACATTCATTCTTCTTCAGGCATGGTTTGACCACCCCATTCCCAAGTTACTGCCTGGTGCTCTACATCTCCACACAGAGTTTTTCAGGCCCCGGAGTGCTCTCCTGTGCTTCCCCAGCCCCATAGCCAGCCCCTGCTCTGCTCCGCTGCTCCTCCTCCTCCACAGCTTGCAGGTGCCTTTTGGCCCAGGTCCCCCATCTCTGGCCCCGCTCCTCTACCAGGTGTGGGCAATCCTGGGGTGCTCCACAGACTGGATGTTGCAGCAGCAGCTAACGTTACAGTGAAAAATGAGTCCGAAGGCTGTAACAACTTGTTCTTGCTCCATTTCTCAGCATCTAACTATCAAAATCACTTATGGAAGAGAGGCCAAAGTCACCAATGAAGCAACCAGTCATAAATGCATTGGAACCAACAAAGTGACCCCTTGCTTATTCTGGCACCGTTTTATTAGCAAACTGCTAACTCCTCATAGCAAATTACATAACCCACATTTCATTTAATTTCTCTACAAACGTGCCTTTGTGGAATCAGCCGTGTTTGTATTTTTGCTGATAGATCCATTGCCCCTAGAGTAAAAGAATTTCAACACCATTGCTCTCTCTTTGTATGTCACATACTATGCCAGGATGCTCTACCGAGTTAAACCTGTCGTTATCACCTGGTAAAACAGTGAGCATGAGAAAGCAAAGGAAGAGTTCTAGGATGGTAAGAGACCTTGCCAATTCTAGGCAGTTTTCAAGCATGGTAGTAAAATGCATGATCCTATGAAGCCAACCTTTTCTTCCCATTTTTATAACCTACCAAATCTTACTTGGCTTTAAAATGTATTTCTTCCTCACGATCTAGAAAACAGTTTTCATCTCATGCTAGAATGTTCTTGGCATATCTGCAATTATCCATAGTAACAAAGGAGTGAAGGAGGAAAAAATGAAATAAAAAGTATATCACACTTACAAAAGGGCCTCAAGCTTTAAGACAGAAGACAGAAAACAAAACAATTAAACAGGTAGAGCAGTTGTAACAAATCTCTGCCAGGCCAACGTCCTACAGAGGGATGATTGCCTCGGTATGACACCCTTTAGCTCAAGAAGCCACGACGTGCTAGATTACTGCCGAACCTGGAAAAGATTTTCTTTGAATGGACAAAGAGTAAGTGCTGGAGTACGATATGCAGAAAAGGAGGAAAGCAAGTATGCCCAACCTATCGTGCTAATTGGAAATCACAATTTCCACAAGCTTTATAGAAATCAAAAGATGAAGAAAATAGTATTAAAAAAAACCCAAACAACCACAAACATGCAGAAACATAGAGTGTGCATAAATCCACTTGAGTCTGAGTCAACCTTCTGAAATAAGAAAAAAAAAATATATTGTTTAATTGGTGCATGCATGAAAACAGAGATACAGACACAAAAATGCATTTGGAAGTAGAGGGATTTATGTTTATCACTAACTGAAGGGTTAGTGATAAACAGACCCCACCACCTCCTCTAAAAATTACTATGAATCAATTTGTTCCAGAGTGATGGTGAACAGCCTCACACCATCCAACTACTTTTCTTTATCATTCTTACCGACCAGGCTGCTGAGGCTGAGCGTACCAGCAGCAGCAAAGGAGAGATAAAACCAAAATCAAACTCCCACATGGCTTATACGCGTGCAGTCTCTCTCAGAAGGAAAGTATCTACTTTACATTTCATCTAAAACTGTCCTGGAAACCCAGCTCTGACAGTTTTAACACCATGAAGGCAGCTTTCAGCAACAAGAACAACTCTTGCAAGTTCAAGAATGCACAAAAACATGGGCTTCGCTAAAGTCAGCTGGCTCGCTCTACCCTACTAATTGACTATCAGGTCTCCAGGGAAAACAGCCTCCCCCAGCCCAGCTGAGTGTGAGGACTGTGCATGGAAGAGGAGGCAGGAATGGAGAAGACCCTAATACCAAAACCACAGTCACAGAGAGAAAAAGAGAAGTGAAACGGGGCTAGCTCGCTCTGAACACGTAGGGTGGTAGCCAGTGCTCT